GATTTAGTGTTCGTTTTTAATGCCTTTTTTTTTTTTTTGTAAGAGCTCAACTCTAAAATTGGCACATGCAAACACAACAGAACTTGTGATTTTATTTATTTATTTTTTTTCTGATTTAACATTTGACCATTGAAATAATGGTACTGGGCTGCAAAGTTTAGTTGGTTTATATTCATTATCTTAATTCATGCCAAAATGTGATTACTTGACTCCCTGAATCAGTTAAAAAAACAGTTTTTTTAGGCACAGAAATTTAATTTAAAGTTGTATAAAGAGTTTGCATGAACACATTTGTCAAGCAGCAGCTTCAGATAACAAACACCTGCTGTGACACACTTTTATAGATCCCCACTTTGGACAACAGAGCTCTGAGCATGTGAGAAGTGATCCCTTTCATCTTCATTTTGCTCTTTACAACTACACACTTAATTATTCAAATGCTCATGCACCTTGTTAGTGGATTAAATACGTCAACTATAATGAACGAAGAATCATTAGTGCTTATGCAAATATTTAATAGATCTTCACCTCGGTGGGTTGGCAGGATGCATTAAGATTCTGATGAATGCATTAAATATTGTTTGGTGATTGAGATTATGGTTTATTTAGTATTCTTCTCCTCTCTTTGTGCATTTGCGTGGAGTCAGCAGTTTTATGCCTGACTGAGGAGCTCACTTTTACTAATTAGAGCCACGAGTTGGAGCCCAGGAGGCAGGTCTCGCATGACTAAAACATGACATCAAATTAAGGACACAAAGGTAAAGAGTTGTGAATTTGTTCTGCCCTGACAAATGGAAATAAACAGAAATTCCACATGAAGTTATCTGATGTGGAAAACTGTTCTAGTAGAGACCTTGAACTAAAACAACATGGATTTGTAATCATGAATAAAAGTTAAATTGAACTAGACAAATTGCATTTCCTACGAAAATGCATTGTGCTTGCTTATTGCAGAAGAACTTGTTGAAATGAGCTAAAAACATGCTGAAATGTAGCTGAAGAGAACAAGCCTAAATTAGCAGAAGAAAATGGAAAGAACACATATTTGCTGAATTAGGCTTAAATAAGCAGAAATGAGCACAAAAATTAGGAAATCAGCTAATAAAGCTACAATCAGCAAAAAAGCATCTGAAAAGTAGCCGAAAAGGCAGAAAGAAGCTTACCCTACAAGAAGAAAGTGGAAAAAGCTGAAATGAGCTAAAAAAAAAAGTGGAATTAGCTGATAAAGCTAAAATTTGCATAAAACATCTAAGTAGTTTATTGAAAAAGCTGAAACTAAGTGAAAAAAGCTGAAAGGATCATAACCAACTGAAATTAGCAAAAATAAGTTAATTAGACTGAAAGTAGCAGAAATTACCAATAAAAACTTGAATTTATCTGAAAAAGGCTGAAATCAGCTAACATCAGCTAAAAACCATATCTGAAAAGGTAGAACGAGCTTAAATTAGCATAAGAAAACAGAAAGAACAAGTTTGGCCAGTTTGGTTGAAAGAAGCAGAAATGAGCAAAATCATTATAAATTATCTGGAAAAAGCTGAAATTAGCTGAAAACCAGCTGAAAAAAAATCAGAAAGCAGCTGAAATAACAAGAATGAAGTGGAGCGAACACATTTTTATTGAATTAAGATGAAAAAGTTGAAATGAGTGCAAAATCTGTGGAATTGGCTGAAAATAAAAAAACTGAAATTGGCATAAAACAACCTAATTGTTGTAATACCAGAAAAAGCTGAAACTTGCAGAAATAAGCTAAAAGTAGCATAACAAGCTGAAATTAGCAGAGATAATATGAAAGGAGCACAAAACAGCTGAAAGAACAGCTGAAACTAGCTGAAAGTAGCTGAAAAACGTTTAAAAATGCAGAAGGAAGCTGAAAGCTGAAGCAGAAAATGTGAAAGGAGAAGAAAAAGGTTGTAAACGTATCTAAAGATTTAAAGAATGTAAAATTAACTCAATTGATTTCCAATGAGAGAAACAATGTCGGAAAAGGCTAAATATTTCAAAAGCTAAAGTTGCGCCAGTACCAAAAGTCATTACACCCTTCTCCTGAACGAGCTGTTTTTTGTTACTTTTTTTTTTTTAGCTATCCTATTTGTTAAAAAAAAATCTGTATGACTTTTTGTAACTGTTTATTGTTGTCCATTGTTGTCATCATTCTCTGTTGAAATCAGGTCTCTCTTGTAAATGAGTCCTCGAGGCTCATTGGGATTAACCTGTCTAAAAAAAGATTGAATGAATGAGCTGAACGTTTATCGAAACAAATATGATTTGTTGAAATAGCACAAAATTGTTGAACGAGAAAGATGCCGACAACTGTACAGAAGAAAAATGGATCATAATAGTCTCTCCCATTAGTCCCTCGTTTATCGGGGGGATCCGTACCCTGAAGACCCACGATAAGTGAAAAACCACAAAGTAGGAATAGTAGTAAGTAGTACAAGTAGTAAGTAGTAGTTTAATTATCCATCCATCCATCCATCCATCCATCCATCCATCCATCCATCTATCCATCCATCCATCCATCCATCCATCCATCAAGGTGTTTTAAATTCTTCCCACACTCTTGCAATATTTTTATTTTAACAATGTTTCTAAACTAAACGCTCTAAAAGAGCACAGCATGTCATGCTTTCAGCTCTCTGTCTCCTCTGCTTTGTCACCTGCAAGCACTTTTGGCCACACCCACTTCTCCGCTGTGCTTGGTGAACAGCTGATCAGCTGCAGCAGGAAGCTTATCCTGCAGCAGGTGCTAAATAATTTTAAATAATTGTGTGTCATGTCCAATCATTTTGAAAAACCACGATAGAGCGTGTCCGCGATAAACAAACCATGAAGTAGCGAGGGATTACTGTAGTGTGAATGCTTCATAAGCTTTATGAAGCATAATGCTTCATAAGCTTTATGAAGCATTATGCTTCATAAAGCTTATGAAGCATTATGCTTCATAAGCTTTATGAAGCATAATGCTTCATTAGGTAAAAATATATAAGATAAATAAACGAAGGGAACAACAGATGTTTAATCACACTATTAACAGAGATCTAATTGCAGCCTTACATCCTTGTAAGGTTGTAGACGTTGGCCTCTGACAGTAATTAAAAATGTGTTGCATTAAAACGGAGTTGTAAACAACAAAAAAACAATATTTCACATTATAAAGGAAATGCATTAATCAAAGTCTGTCACTCTGCAGACCCGTTACTTTGACCATTGTCACCTTAGAATCATTTTCAGGACCTGAGAAAAAGCTTTTCATGCTTGAAAACACACAAATGACGTGTTAGTGATTTCACACACGAGTGAGCCATATACCTTAACACTGTGATGGGTCTTTTTTTTTTTTTTAAGTAAACATGCAGCAGTCACTGATTTTTATTGTATTATGTTTGTATTTATTTATTTCAAATGAGAGAAGGGTACTTAAGAAAACCTGGGCCCTCAAGTATATGAACTGGTGTGGATTTTCTACTGGGATATGGTGGATACTTAAATTAAGACAATTGTACGTGACCCCGAATGCTCTGAAACTGTAGTTCAAGCAGGAAGTAGTTCACTTGAACCACCTTCTGCAGTTTAGATCTGTAAAGAAAGATCTTAAACCTTTAACTCAACAACTAAGAAGTTTATTTACTGTAGCTCTGATTCTGCCTCATAAAGTACCCATCACTTCATTGGTTAAATCAAATATCTTATGTATTCTCTGATGTACAGGTTTGCTAATAAATTTGATTTTAACGTTTTAACGAATTTCTCATTATATCAATCAAAATATAAAAAAGCCCATTTCTACATTAACTTGAGGTTCTGATGAAGTTGTTACAGAATCCATTCTTTTTAATCTTCCTGCTAACGGCAGCTTCTTAATGACACACAGCAGAAATGACTTATGAGCATATCCAAGTATATTTTTAGCTGTTTATTCTGTAAAAAATTGACCGAATTAAAAAAGGTTTTTGTACAAAATAACAATTTTTACATAAAATAAATTTCATAGCCAACATATATTTTGTAAATTTGATGATTAAAGGAAATGACTTCCCTAAATGTGGTTAAATTGGACAATTTAAATGCCATCATTTAATCAGCACCTAAATCACAGGCACTGACTTGAGATGATGGTAGACTGCTTTAATTATTATAATTTGACAGTCCGTTAAATTATTTTTTTAATGTTTCCTGCATCAGACAGACTTAACGTTATTTTTTCCCCTCCACATTACAGTTTGCCACAACATAAGAGTTCAGTCCAAATGTGTAATCTTGTACATTTAAGTTAGACACAAAGTTTCTTGTCTAATGTTTTTGGTTTCAAATCACATAAAAAAGAAAAGTCTTTGTAATTAGGTGCTCAATGATGTAAAATAGATTTTGTTAGGCTCTTGGTGTGTTTGTCCATGAACATGATTTAATAAAGCTCATTAAATCATTTAACGTGGCAACCAAAAGTCCATCAGTCACTGCATTTTGTGACGGTAGTTCCTGTGAATTCCATTCCCTTTATCGTCACT